ATAAAGTGATCTGATGTTCCCATCACTGAAATATAAGAAAAACAGTTAAAAATGAAATGAAAATATGAAAAAAATCTAAAAATAAACTATACTCACGAAATGAACGGTCTGGTAAACAATATACCTCAATTTCAACGCCATTCAAACAAAATAATTCAATAAAAAATAAAATAAATCGAAATCTATGAAAATAAAATTTATCAATGCAATCGGAAACATTGAAGTGGAATTCGTGACATGATTAGAATAGCGTGCATGTTGCCATTACGTGCAACTGATAGCACTGTTTTTTTCAAAAACGCATGTTTTTACCTGTCACAGGGGTGGCATCTATATAGTAGGTATATAAAATGTCGCGCCTATTCGAATGCAACGTTGTGTCAAAACTTCAAAGCAATTGGTGAAGAACTTTTGGAGATTACAGCATGTGTTGCTCTTACGTTCAACAGATGGCGCTGTTTTGAAAAAAAAAAAAATCCTGTCACAGACGGGGCATGTATATGGAAGATATATATAAAGACACGCCTATTCGAAGGCAACGTTGTGTCAAAATTTCAAAGCAATCGGTAAAGAGGTTTCGAAGATTTCCCTCACATGAAAAACACATTTTCAGAAAAAGCATGTTTTTTTTCCGTCACAGATGTGATATCTATATAATATGTATATATAAACCTGCTCGGATGTGAATGGAACATCGTGTGAAAATTTCAAAGCAATCGGTGAAGAACTTTCGGAGATTAGCGATTTTGAAGAAACATTTCCATTTTTATTGATATAGATAATCATCTCATCTAGCCAACCAACCATAGATGCGGTGCGAACCATATTGTCAGGAGCCCAAGTGATCGCTCCCACCGACAGTGTGCTGCTAGGGGCACCTCTGGGCTCGAGCGCCATTGAGGTAGTCCTCGAAGAAAAGCTGAACGACCTGAGGCGGATGGAGGGAAGAATAGGGGCTTTGGACGCCCACGATGCTCTGTACCTTCTCACAAGGTGCCTGGCTTTGCCCAGACTGACCTATTTCCTAAGGTGCGCTCCTTCCTTCGACAGCCCAAAATTAACATAATATGACACACTCCTAAGGTCAATAACCGTGAAAGTGCTAAACCTCTCCCTGCAAGATGACCAATGGGACCAAGCAACGCTCCCAGTTAGACTCGAGGGTATAGGTATTCGCAAGGCGACACAGTTAGCATTGCCGGCATTCTTATCCTTGACCAGTGCTACAAGTGAATTAGTGAAGGAAATACTACCAGAATACCTTAGGAACTCCATTGGGATTCATGATCCCAAATTTGTGGAAGGAGCTGGTCAGTGGGACACACTTGCCAATTCACACCCTCGACCAACTTTGCCGTCCGAACGACTGCAAACAGTCCAAATGGGATAGCCCCATAGTGGAAAACATCGCCACATCATTGCTGGAGGCAGCTTCTGGGAAGGACAGAGCGCGTCTTCTAGCTGAGCAAGCGCCCCATGCCGGGGACTTCCTGTTGGCAGTCCCTAATTCCGCCTTGGGCACCCGCCTGGACCATCGGGCCCTAAGTGTTGGTGTTGCTCTGCGCCTTGCCGCCCCTATCTCCACCGAACACCGGTGTGTTTGCGGCCATGCACGGGCAGACCAATACAGCAGCCATGGTCTCATCTGTCGTAAGACACAGGGAAAGATTGCCAGACATGAAGCAGTCAATGACCTCATCAAGAGAAGTTTGGCTACAGCTGGGTGTCCAGCACAAAGGGAACCCCAGTTGTGCAGACATGACAACAGCCAAAAACGTCCAGATGGAGTCACCCTGCAGCCATGGAGGGAAGGTAAACAGGTCGTATGGGATTACACGTGTGCATCTACATTGGCTGATACCTATCTACGTTACAGCTCAGCGGAGGGAGGTGGGGCAGCCACCTTCAGGGAGACCTAGAAAACCAACAAGTACAGAGACCTAGAACGTTGTTAGATTCGTGCCGATAGGCTCTGAGACTCTGGGCGTCTGGGGTAAATGTGCACTTAAGTTCTTAAAGGAGGTGGGCGAGGAACTAACTCATTGGGAAAACTAAAAACTCAAGAGCGGCCAGTTTCGTGTTCCAGCGCCTCAGTGTCGCAGCAGTTCAGAGGGGAAATGCGTGCTGTATCCTGGGTACGCACCCGACCTCTGAAGAGCTGGACGAGGTCTTTGAACACTGATTGTTATATTGTTATGTTCGTTATGTTATATATGTGTGTGTTCTCGGTAAACTGTAGCATTGCAATAAAAATAAAATATATAACAAAATAATAGAGGTGGTATAAGATAAGATTAAAGTGTTCAGTGAGAATCCACAGGGTCTTCTCTGAGTACTCATTATTTTCTTCTCCGAGGCTATGGGTCCCTACAATTGCACCAGAGGTGGTACCCTCTACTAATATATATATATATATATATATATATATATATATATATATATATATATATATATATATATATATATAGGGGTACCACCTCTGGTGCAAGTGTAGGGACCCATAGCCTCGGAGAAGAAAATAATGAGTACTCAAGAGAAGACCCTGTGGATCTTCACTGAACACTTTGATATTCTCTTCCCCTACCACCCCTATTCTTTTAGTGTGTGTGTATATATATATCTATATTTAAAATTTCATTACACAAAAAGGGTGTGTGTAATATATTATATATTATATTATATATATATATATATATATATATATATATATATATATATATATATATATATATATATATATTTTAATAAAGTTCAAATAAAACAAATATATATGTGTACATACAAAGAATGGGGGTAGTAGAAGATAATATTAGTGTTCAGTGAGAAACCACAAGGTCTTCTCTGAATACTTTTTATTTTCTTCTCCGAGGCTATGGGTCCTCCCCACATTGGCACCAGAGGTGGTACCCTCACAAACTTTATTTAAATAAAAAAAAATATATATATATATATATATATATATATATATATATATATATATATATATATATATATACATATATATATATATATATATATATGTGTGTGTATATCACGAAAGTAAACACGTGATTAAAAATGTGACAATGTCAGACCACGGAGGAAAAATGAAACAGGAATTTCCTTAAGTACTTTCGTATATTAATACATCTTCAGAAGGTGACCACCTCTGAAGATGTATTAATATACGAAAGTACTCCTTCTGAAGATGTATTAATATACCTCCTTCTGAAGATGTATTAATATACGAAAGTACTCCTTCTGAAGATGTATTAATATACGAAAGTACTTAAGGAAATTCCTGTTTCATTTTTCCTCCGTGGTCTGACATTGTCTTTTTAATCATATATATACACACACACACATATATATATATATATATATATATATATATATATATATATATAATATATATATATATATATATATATATATATATATATATATAATATATATATGCATTATATATATATATATATATTATTATATATTGATAATATTATATATTGATATATATATATATATATATATATATATATATATATATATATATATATATATATATATATATATATATATATATATATATATATATATATATATATATATATATATAATAGGGGTACAAAATAAATGAGTTTCACAAAATAATACATTTTGTGAAACTGACAAATCCACACAAGTTGGGTGGAGCACATCGGCCTCTCACACAGGCCGGGAGACACACACACACACACACACACACACACACACACACACACACACGCACAAACACGTACTCACTTTCGCCGGTTTCCTACACGTGTTCATTCATAAAACGGGAGCGACAGTGAGCGCATGCGCGACAGGGTTCAGCGCGCGGCAGACCACCCCACGAGGTGATTTTTACTTCCTTTAATAAAACTTCATATATATATATGGAGAGTTATCCAACTACTTGATTTTCATCTTATCCTGTCAACTGGCGAACAGACCATTGACTAGTGCGAAACTCAAGTCCAGAAAACTCCAGAAAAGCGCCAAAGTCCAGAAAATCGAGTCCTCAAAAAGACCAAATTATCCAGCATTTGGCAACGGGGGCGCGTTCCGGTCGGTGGGAAGACGTCTCAGGGAGGAGGTTAAAGCGGCGTGCTGAGCACCTCACGTGGACTACCACGCGTAACTTGACCTTTCGCTTCAACCGTCCCCTCGCCCCCACCCGTGTACCAACACCTCACAACGCAAGGTACAAGGACGCAGACGCCTCAAAAATATAGAAGCTGGTGCACCGACGCCTCACCAACCGCCATGCGACGACCCGCCATAAATCAATAACTGCGTCGTGGTGGCTTTTGTATCCATTCATTCTTCAGACTCCTGCCTCCAGCAACCCCCCTCCCCCCCCCCTCCACCCGCCAACCTCAAGGCATATACGTTACTCGTCGCCCCCCCCCCACCCCCACCCTTGCCTTACTCGTTAATTGGTGATCTTCCTCGTTAACCATCACGAGCACGCCACTCCCACTGTCAATATCGCCAATGCCACCTCGTTATTTTTCACACCAGTTCGTTATTTATCTACCCCCCCCCCACCAATTCGTTGTCTTTCTGGGTAGTTTATTATGACCAATATCCTCGTTAGTCGTCAAGCTGCGCCTCGCTTGTCTTGCCGGCTCTCTTCGTTAATCTGCATTCCTCAATTTCATAATTACCCCACACTCGCTTCACGCAGGTCGGCGTTCAATCCCCGACCGTCCACAGGGGGCTGGGCACCATTCCTTCCCTCCCGTCCCATCCCAAATCCTGACCCGTTGTTGTTATAGATTAAGCTACTCGGAACAGGTTCCAAGTAGCACGGGCCATGGTGAGCCCGTAACTTACCTGGCACAGGAGCGGGGCAAGTAGCACGGGCCAAGGAGAGCCCGTAGTGGACTTACCTGGCACCAGAGCGTATCCTGACCCCCTTCCCAGTGCTATATATAGTGGTAATGGCCTGGCCCTTTCTCCCTATAGTTGCCCTCCCCCTCTATTATTAACCTCACCTTACGTTGAGCGACTGGTGCCGGCTCAGCCCTGCGCTCCACCGCGGTAATCCTCACGCCCCACCTGACGGCAATTAAGGTCACATTAACAACAGTAAACACGTCAAAACATGAATGGTAAAATGTAACAATTAAGAGTGCCGGACCAACCGGGCTGTGTGGGCCTGCGGGCCGCTCCAAGCAACAGCCTGGTGGACCAAACTCTCACAAGTCAGAAGTAGACTTGTAGAAGAACTCCCAGAACCCCATCAAGCAGTAGTACCTGTATCACAATAGTCTGCGTCGTCTGATCACAACCCAGTAAACCACGGGTTCCATCCCCCCCCCCCCCGGGTGGCCAGACGGAAACGATTGGGCAGGTTTCCTGTTATCTGGTGCCTCTGTTCACCTACTAGTTGAATCCTGGGGAAGGTCGGCAGGAGTTGGGTCTATAAGACCAGACAACATTTTCTTCACTATACGCTTTTCTACTCTTTAGTAAACCCAATCCGACTTGGCCCGACCCGACCCGACGAGACCAAACCAGACCCGATCCGATCCGACCCGACCCAACCCGACGAGACCCAAACTATTTTAATTGAACGAAAATATGGAATAAAATGGCTTTACATAGTGACGTCATTGCACAAGGTGCGTGACGTCACTATGACGTCATAATTGTATTTCGGCAGAGGAGCCTGACTAAGGCAAGGTGCAGGCTTCCTGTCCCCGGCGACCAGCACTGTGTAGTTCCTACGAACATGACTCACGGCCTTTCCGCACGCTCGTCTCACACACAGGGGCGCTGGTGGCCGAGTGGACAGCACGCTGGATACGTAATCCTGTGGACCGGGGTTAGATTCCCGGCGCCGGCGGAAACAGATGAGCAGAGCTTCTTCCACTCTGATGCCCCTGTTCACCCAGCAGTGAAATGGATGGATAACGCTCCCTCCCTCCCTCCCTCCCTCCCTCTCTCTCTCTCTCTCTCTCTCTCTCTCCACTACAACCTTGTGGGACAGTCACAGCACCTGAGCCAGGTCAGTCCACTACGGGCTCGCCATAGACCGTGCTACCTGCAACTTTTGGGTTCCGAGCAGCTGAATCATCATCATCATACAACCTTGTCTGGCCCCCTTGCCTCTTGTATCCTCTGGTGGCAACTACGCCTCAACTTCCTCTACGACAATCTCAAGGTCTTTCAGCATGTTGGGGTGATGAGAGGATATGCGTGTGTGTTTGTGTGCACGCGCGTGCGTGGGGAGGGCGTAGATGGTGCGTAGTAGTTAGGGTAAATGCGTACGTGGGAGATGACTTAAGATACATGCGTGGAGGGGAGGGAGTGGCGTAGATATATATGCTTGGAGGGGTAGAAAGGCTGACGTAGATGCGTGCATAAGGGGTGAGGTAGGGAGGGGGAACGCACGTAATTCAAGCACGCGCGTGCGAGAACACAAGCGGCTTGCGCTGACGAAGAGTGCGTGTGGGGCGCGCGCGCACGCGCACGCACGCACACGCGCACGCACACACACACACACACACACACACACACACACACACACACACACACACACACACACACTCAGGGAACATTTCCTGAGACCTGGAACGTTAAGAACAAGAGGTCATAGATATAAACTAGCTAAACACAGATGCCGAACAAATATAAGAAAAATTCCCTTTCGCAAACAGAGTGGCAGACGGTTGGAACAAGTTAGGTGAGACGGTGGTGGAGGCCAAGACCGTCAGTAGTTTCAAAGCGTTATATGACAAAGAGTCCTGGGAAGACGGGACACCACGAGCGTAGCTCTCATCCTGTAACTACACTTAGGTAATTACACACCCACCCTTGAAACCCTCCCCCAAGAACTACAAGACACCCCCCCCCCACTCTGCTTCCAATTACAAACTTCACACAAGTCTCCACCAGACCATATGATTGTCAATTTAAACTTTTACAGAGCGAGTATTGTAATAGAAAATAAACTATTTGAATAGTGTCTATGACTACTGCTATAATATCGGTATAGATAGTAGGGGGTGATAACGACGACAATAGTGGCAAGTAACGTATCAGCAGTAGTACTTGAAGTACTATTAGGTAATTCATCGTTAAGTACTTAATTACTCGGGGGATTAATAGTCCTACTCATAATTTATTGTACTACTAATTAGGTATAATTGATAATTATTACTATTGGTAGTGATTAATAGTACTACTAGTACTTACTGATAGTAGCGTTACCACCAGTACTACTGCCAGTACTGTTACCACCAGTACTACTGCCAGTACTGTTACCACCAGTACTACTGCCAGTACTGTTACCACCAGTACTACTGCTAGTAGTTACCACCAGTACTACTGCCAGTACTGTTACCACCAGCCAGTACTGTTACCACCAGTACTACTGCCAGTACTGTTACCACCAGTACTACTGCCAGTACTGTTACCACCAGTACTACTGCCAGTACTGTTACCACCAGTACTACTGCCAGTACTGTTACCACCAGTACTGTTACCACCAGTACTACTGCCAGTACTGTTACCACCAGTACTACTGCCACTACTGTACTGTTACCACCAGTACTACTGCCAGTACTGTTACCACCAGTACTACTGCTAGTACTGTTACCACCAGTACTACTGCCAGTACTGTTACCACCAGTACTACTGCTAGTACTGTTACCACCAGTACTGCCAGTACTGTTACCACCAGTACTACTGCTAGTACTGTTACCACCAGTACTACTGCTAGTACTGTAACCACCAGTTACTGCTACTGTTACCAGTACTACTGCCAGTACTGTACCACCAGTACTGTTACCACCAGTACTACTGCTAGTAGTTACCACCAGTATTGTTACCACCAGTACTACTGCCAGTACTGTTACCACCAGTACTGTTACCACCAGTACTACTGCTAGTACTGTTACCACCAGTACTGTTACCACCAGTACTACTGCCAGTACTGTTACCACCAGTACTGTTACCACCAGTACTACTGCTAGTACTGTTACCACCAGTACTACTGCTAGTACTGTTACCACCAGTACTACCACCACCAGTACTACTGCTAGTACTGTTACCACCAGTACTACTGCTAGTACTGTTACCACCAGTACTACTGCTAGTACTGTTACCACCAGTACTGTTACCACCAGTACTACTGCTAGTACTGTTACCACCAGTACTACTGCCAGTACTGTTACCACCAGTACTACTGCTACTGCTAGTACTGTTACCACCAGTACTACTGCTAGTACTGTTACCACCAGTACTACTGCCAGTACTGTTACCACCAGTACTACTGCCAGTACTGTTACCACCAGTACTACTGCTAGTACTGTTACCACCAGTACTACTGCTAGTACTGTTACCACCAGTACTACTGCTAGTACTGTTACCACCAGTACTACTGCCAGTACTGTTACCACCAGTACTACTGCTAGTACTGTTACCACCAGTACTACTGCTAGTACTGTTACCACCAGTACTACTGCTAGTACTGTTACCACCAGTACTGTTACCACCAGTACTGTTACCACCAGTACTACTGCTAGTACTGTTACCACCAGTACTGTTACCACCAGTACTGTTACCACCAGTACTGTTACCACCAGTACTACTGCCAGTACTGTTACCACCAGTACTACTGCCAGTACTGTTACCACCAGTACTGTTACCACCAGTACTACTGCTAGTACTGTTACCACCAGTACTACTGCTAGTACTGTTACCACCAGTACTACTGCCAGTACTGTTACCACCAGTACTACTGCTAGTACCACCAGTACTACTGCTAGTACTGTTACCACCAGTACTACTGTACCACCAGTACTACTGCTAGTACTGTTACCACCAGTACTACTGCCAGTAGTACCACCAGTACTGTTACCACCAGTACTACTGCTAGTACTGTTACCACCAGTACTACTGCCAGTACTGTTACCACCAGTACTGTTACCACCAGTACTACTGCTAGTACTGTTACCACCAGTACTACTGCTAGTACTGTTACCACCAGTACTACTGTCAGTACTGTTACCACCAGTACTACTGATAGTACTGTTACCACCAGTACTACTGCCAGTACTGTTACCACCAGTACTACTGCTAGTACTGTTACCACCAGTACTACTGCCAGTACTGTTACCACCAGTACTACTGCCAGTACTGTTACCACCAGTACTACTGCTAGTACTGTTACCACCAGTACTGTTACCACCAGTACTACTGCCAGTACTGTTACCACCAGTACTACTGCCAGTACTGTTACCACCAGTACTACTGCCAGTACTGTTACCACCAGTACTGTTACCACCAGTACTACTGCCAGTACTGTTACCACCAGTACTACTGCCAGTACTGTTACCACCAGTACTACTGCCAGTACTGTTACCACCAGTACTACTGCCAGTACTGTTACCACCAGTACTACTGCCAGTACTGTTACCACCAGTACTACTGCCAGTACTGTTACCACCAGTACTACTGCCAGTACTGTTACCACCAGTACTACTGCCAGTACTGTTACCACCAGTACTACTGCTAGTACTGTTACCACCAGTACTACTGCCAGTACTGTTACCACCAGTACTACTGCCAGTACTGTTACCACCAGTACTACTGCCAGTACTGTTACCACCAGTACTACTGCCAGTACTGTTACCACCAGTACTACTGCCAGTACTGTTACCACCAGTACTACTGCCAGTACTGTTACCACCAGTACTACTGCCAGTACTGTTACCACCAGTACTACTGCCAGTACTGTTACCACCAGTACTACTGCCAGTACTGTTACCACCAGTACTACTGCTAGTACTGTTACCACCAGTACTACTGCCAGTACTGTTACCACCAGTACTACTGCCAGTACTGTTACCACCAGTACTACTGCCAGTACTGTTACCACCAGTACTACTGCCAGTACTGTTACCACCACCTGCCAGTACTGTTACCACCAGTACTATTACTGCCAGTACTGTTACCACCAGTACTACTGCCAGTACTGTTACCACCAGTACTACTGCCAGTACCCACCAGTACTACTGCCAGTACTGTTACCACCAGTACTACTGCTAGTACTGTTACCACCAGTACTGTTACCACCAGTACTACTGCCAGTACTGTTACCACCAGTACTACTGCTAGTACTGTTACCACCAGTACTACTGCCAGTACTGTTACCACCAGTACTACTGCTAGTACTGTTACCACCAGTACTACTGCCAGTACTGTTACCACCAGTACTACTGCCAGTAGCGTTACTACCACCAGTACTACTGCCAGTACTGTTACCACCAGTACTACTGCCAGTACTGTTACCACCAGTACTACTGCCAGTACTGTTACCACCAGTACTACTGCCAGTACTGTTACCACCAGTACTACTGCCAGTACTGCCAGCTGTTACCACCAGTACTACTGCCAGTACTGTTACCACCAGTACTGTTACTGCTAGTACTGT